AGACTGTCGCCTGGCTGTTACTATCGTCTTCATGTACCTAAGTTTAACTGACAATTATTCTACAATGTTATATGTATATAGAAAAGATTAATTTAGTAGACGAAATATAATAAAGAAATAGATACACAAATAGGAATGATACGGGGAATAGGTCAAAGGCTTTGTAAGGATGACTGGTACAACAGAAAGAATTATTTGATGCATTAGTAAAATGTGTGATATTTTATGCAGTCGAAATTTGGGGATAGAGGGTGAAGAATATATACCTATAGAAAATATATAAAATGAATATTAATATGAAAAAGTGTTTCATATAATATAAGATGAATATTTAAATTAGACACCACATTATGTTATTAGAAGGGAAATCAAATTGGTTGATGAAGCTAGAAAAAGAGTAATTAAGTATGAAAATACAACGTGTAATTATACATCACGCTACTGAAGTAAAACTTCTTCAATGACACAAACATACCGGGACAGGGGTTAAGGAAGTTAAGTTTAGGTAATGGTATTATTTGTACATTATGAATTTAAATTTTCCACTGTACATGCCGAAGTTGCCTGTAACGAACGTTGCATTGAAGCGGGCTCACGGCTCAACCGATCCCCACTACGAACTCGATTAGGTACGTGGCCGAGTAGAGGGGGACATCCGTTGCATGATTTCGTTACATAGCAACTCGCATGAAACGAACTTATCCTACCGTGCGTAAAGAAGTTTCACTTCAAAAAGTTGAAAAATCCAAAAAAAAAAAGGAGATATAAGTATTAAGAAGGGAAAGTAGAATTAGGGAAGAATATTAGAAATATGTAGGTGCAAAAAACAGGCATGTGCAGGAAAGAAAGGAAGCATTAAAGGAATTGAAAGTAAGTCAGAATCATTTAAATGAATGAGGAAGGATGGATATGTGTGTAGATGAGATAATGTGGATTAGGTGTAGTGAAATGATAAGTGGTGAGAATCTGAAGAAAATTGATAAATTAACATACGTACGACGCATAAAGGATTGGATATGGGTGAGCTGACAGGATCATTGTATGCCAGGGTATTTAAAATGTCTAAAAGAGATTGATGTGATAGCAAAGTGTTTGGTTGTTGGCAAAAGAAGGATTGAGGGTTATGTAGGTAGAATATGTGGATTGGGAGAGGAAATTTTGATGCTTGTATTGGGAAATGATGAAGAATGTAAGGATTATGATGAGTACAGTGACGTGATAAGTGAGAAAGGGAATAGTCTGATCAGTTTTAAATGTATATGCAAAAAGAAAGAAAAGGGAAGAATATCGGGGAGTGATAGTAATGTATGGGAGAAGGGACACTTTTGTTTTTTATGTTTTTTTTTTGATTGTTAATATAAAAAAGGAAAGATTTTAGTATTTTAGTTAATATTCATGTTGTAATTGCCCTGTATCGAAAAGGCTTAGTTTAATTAGTGTTATGTAAACATGCGAAAATAAGTTTATGTTGAAATAAATACTCTATGCAGTAGACGAAATCAAATTCGACCCTTTCCAATCAAAAAATATTTTACCCCGTCCGTTGCTGACGTAATAGCGATCGAGACCCCACCGTTTCCCATGTTATCGAAAACAAGCAAAGCAAAGACTCCCCCACCCCCAACTGGAGCTTATGTAATACTTGAATGATCATAAAAAAACCGACACAGTTAATTCTGAACGTTATTAGGGTATGTTATCTTTTATTATTTATTCACTTAAAAAATGAAAACCAAATAAAGTCCACGTGTAAAAAAATTTATATCCGTAAAGCTCTAGTTAGTTGAAAATTGATTCTTTTGCAGTTTTGTTTATCATATTCACTGAGGAAATTGACATTTTTTCAAAAAAACAACTGTTTATTTCATAACCGCTCTCTGAAATATATGAGGTCTGTTCAAAAAGTATTGCGAATTTTTACGTATATTCGGTTTTCGTTTTCTTGGTGGCGTTATGTTGGTACTCGTGTCTTTCATTTATACCGACAAGTTGTGCCATGTTGAATGTTTAGTTAATTTTTGACAGTTGTTTTGGCTCGATTTAGATTTTTGCCTATTCCAAAAAATTGATCAAAGAATCTGCTCAATTTCGACCAAAAGCAGCATCACATTAACATTGCTAAAGAGGTTTTAGAAAATACCACAAATCGCGCGGTAAACGCTATCTGTAGTACGATGCTACATTTTAGGATTACGTATGATCCAACAAGGTCCATTTAAATATATGGATATCTACTTGCTGAAACGAATCCCGGTGTAGCTAAGCTCAACGTGATATGCACGTTACCATAATAGAATAAAATAATTCGAAATTGTCTGTATTGTGTCGAAACTGCCAGACGCGGATCGCGATTTCAATCTTTTTGAATCTCATCGCAGACCGCTCGGACAGAACACAGACCAACTTTTACCTTAACAGCGCGTTTTAGTAAATACCACAAATGGCGCGGTGAACGCCATCTGTAGTACGGTGCTACATTTTAGGATTACGTATTCTGTCGGAGCTGTCTGCGACGCGCTGATGAGATCCAAAAAGATCGAAATCGCGATCCGCATCTGGCAGTTTCGACGGAATACAGACCACTTCGAATTATTTTATTCGATTGCTAAGGAGCTGTGAACTCAGTCTGCGGCAACCAAAATTTTCTCCAGAGGATCATAACTGGTTACGAATCATGGGTTCATAGTTATGACGTGGAAACCAAAGCTCAATCATCGCAATGGAAGCTGCCGCACGTGCCAACATCGACTGACCGATTTCGATTGCAGGGGCATGATGCATCATGAGTTCTTACCACAAGGTAGAATGGTCAATAAGAAATATTACCTACAAGTTACGCGCAATTTGCACAAAGCAATCCGCCAGAAACGCCCGGATTTGTGGAAAAACAAAAATTGACTTTTGCGCCATGATAACGTCCCTGCTCACACATCGTTGCTTGGGCGCGAATTTTTAGCCAAAATAATGCCGCAGCCTTTGTGTTCCTTAGATCTGCCCCCCTGTAACTTTTTCTTGTTCCCAAAACTGAAGAGGCCGATGAAAGGACAACGCTACATTACAATTGAGGAGATAAAGACGGCATCGAAGGAGGAGCAAGAACAAGATCACAAAAAATAATTTTTTGAAGTGCTTCGAGGATTGGAAGAAACGTTGGCACAAATGTATAATATCTGGTAGGGATTACTTTGAAGGGGACAAAATAAATGTTCATGAATAAATAAATAATTTGTGAAAAAACACAAAATTCGCGATACTTCTTGAACTGACCTCGTATACATATACATTGTGTAAAAAAACAACCCTTAAGGTTCGACTTAAAAAACAAACAAGCTTCTATCCCTAGTTCCTAAGCAATGTACAATCTAATGAAGCTAATTATACGGTTATCTACACGAAACAACTTAAGAATGGTAGTTATTAAAAATAATAATTATTCGTAGTCTCTCCAGAGTATCCTTGTAATAAACAACTGGTATATACTTTTTAACAATACTCTAAAAGCTATAAATGTCTACTTCAAAGCTTTACCAAAACTAGAGTTGCATAATTGAGGTACAAACTTTAAACAATTAAAATTATTGATGATTTTTATTTTTTTTTTTTTAATGAGCACAACTTAAAGTGGGGTTCTCATTGTCCTAAGAAATTCATTACAGAAGCTGGAAGCGCATGTTCAATTCAATTTAAACTTAGGGATTGTTCTAATTGCCTTTGTCAAGGTGATAAATTAAATTTGAAGGAGGAAGCCTGTCGCTTACAGACTTCGTCACCTCTCTTCTCCATAATTATTCGAAGCAAACTATCGCTTTCAGAAAAGAAAGAAAGCCAATTCCATGTATCTATTTGCAACAAAGTCAGAATTTCAATAATTAAATGATTAAATTTTCTATTTAACTTAGGAAAGTTCTGGAAGCTTTTGTGTTCTGTACGAGTTATTCCGTAAAATAAATTAGTTGAATATAATACCCGTTATGATAATACATAAAATACACTAGAAAATTCGTTACAAAGTTATTACAGTAGAGATTAGCTGAATAATTCAAAATGTTTCACCTACAGATAGACAATATTGTAACTGAGCCAAGAATAATAAATTTCAACAATTTGCATAACTGCCTTCATTTTCTCGTTAAGCGATAATTTATTATGCACCTGTGCATCTAAATTATTATCACATTTCGAAATACAACCAAGAAGTTATTAGGGTATGCGCCTCAAAGATTTTACTTTAACTCCAAAGGTAGAAAAGCCTTCGGATATTAATAGCTAAGGAACACTAGATTTATGGATTCAAACAAAGCAAAATCTAAAGTGCAGTTATTCGGGATATTAAAGTCGGGATTGACTGGGAAATTCTTCTCCTTTTCCGTCCTCTTATAAAAAGTAACGTGCTGATTAACTTAGAATGCAGTTAATTCACGATACTTGGAAAGTTTTAGTTATCTGATGGAGTAGAAACTCCACTTTTAGTTTTGAATTTGAACGAAACTTTTACGTACAAAACATTTAGCAATTGGTTCTTATGGTCAAAACTTTCAAGAGTTTGAATAGTAACAGAACTTTTGGTGCAATATCACAAATACGTAGGTAGGTACGCTTTCCATGGTAAAATAATAAGGTTTGAGAAAATTTAAAAATCTTTGTAAACGGTAGTAGATTTTTATAAAGAAAAACAATAATGGCGATATCCCGCCAGATATATGAACAATAACAACTCGAAGTGAATTAGTCTAAAAGGTATCAACCCTAATAAGGGATTAAAAACGTGTTCGTACGCTGCGCGATGAGCGACCGCGCATCAATCTCCTTGCCAACGCAGCGAATCGGATGCGCATTACCCTACTACGCAGTGTACAAACGAATTCAACTTGGTGATGTTTTTACGGATTGCACCGTACGTTAAGCGTACGTCTAGTCTTCCTGGAAATATACATATAAGTTCATTTAACGTTGCACATACATTTTGAATAATNAGAAAAAAAACATAAAAAATTAAATGAATTATCCTAACAATGGTATCACAAACTTTTATTGACAGTATTATATTATATATTATGTATGCTTGTATTTTTATCGTTTATAGGTACATATGTTTCTAATACGTACGTAGTTCTTTTATCTTAATTTCTTAATTAACGAGTTTCATTATAAAAATTATACAGTCAATAGGTATTTCGTTAGGAACCTGCGGAAAAGCTTTTAAGACAAATTGGTAGACATATCGATACATCTTTATAATAACTTTTGGATACATAAAAAATGCAAACTTGCAATTAATAGTTTGTTTTTAATGATACGTTGCGAAATAAAGTCTATATTAATTCATTGTTTGGTTAATTAGGTACATTTAATGAGATTGGACTAATAAATAAAAACGAAACGGAAATATTACAAATAAATAAAAAATCACACAAATAGTAAGTACAAAAAAATATCCTATTCTTTTTCCTATAGTAGAATCTTACCTTCAGTATTTACTCTTTCCGATTTTAGATTTCTTCTTCTTCTTTTATTATTAGGTGAGGCAGTTAGGTACTTGTTTATTTTTCAAAACCAAATTTGGTTTTCGGCACGAACATTCTGCGACTCATTGAAAGCAGTTTTTGCTTGTTGAAAATGTGTTATTTAAAATTTTAGCAACCCGATTTGCCACATTTTTTTATTTAACGAATGTTTTTAATGTTTAAATTGAAATAAGAAATGTTTTTACACCATCGCACTTTTTTTTTACACTTTTTCTCCGCTAAGACTGAGCATGTTGTAATAAGAATGGTCCGGGAATCTTTCGAGTTCAATATAATCAGTCTCTGTCATAAGAAGCTTTTCCAACAACTCTATACACTCACTAAACGTTGGCCTTTCTTTAGGGTCTTTATCCCAACAGTAGTACATTATGTTGTACAACTCCCTGCGACAGTGCTCCGGTTTTTCTAATCGATGTCCGTCTCGGACCTGCAACAAAACAACTAACTCAATTTCCTCCCAGAGATTTGTTTAGTAAATAGACTAGGGAAGCTTAAACTATACACCTATTTCTCCGTCGCATGAATCACTGCTAACCAGAGGAAAGACATTTATGAACTACCCCTGTTTTAGACTTAAATCATCGATGTTTTCGCGGAGAAACAACGATTAATAATAACATTTCAACAAATTGCTGGGAAGGTCACAGACAATGGGTTTGTCCATATGAATGATGTGAAGCTAAGAACATATTTTTCTACACCATCATTATCATCATTATCGTCACCATCGGGTCGCCAGTCCTGAGACTGGTTGAACACACACACTCCTGAGCTAAAATTTTAATTTTCCTAAAACTACAACATCCCACATCCTTAACTATTTGTAAACAGTAATCTAATCTGGGTTAACTTCTCTTAACTTTTGTTTCCGCTCTCACTAGTCCTTCATGCTCGAGAAGGTGTCCTGCCAACCTATCTGAGTCATCATCATAAAGTCATCAGCCTTGAGACTGGTTAGATACACACCACCACTCTTTCCTATCTCTAAAACTAGAGCATGATACGTACATATCCTTAACTCATTGTGAATAGCCTTTCATGTCTGAGGAGGTATCCTCTCAACCTATCTCGCCTATTTCTTATTAATAGTCTGCATCATCATCACCATAGAGTCCTCAGTCTTGAGAATGGTTAGATTTATATTTTTCTACATAGAACACAAAATTAATGGCATAATTTTCCAGCATTCATTGGTTTACAATTAATTCTTAATTGGAATAGATGCAAGGTTTATGATTATGGCTGGCGCAAGTGCCAATGATCTATCGGTCTTGCCTTTGCTTGTAAACCAAGACAACATCAAAGGCAAGATGCTTATTTGATCTCAAAGGGTTTTCTGCTACTACCTATGAAAATTGCTAGAGTTTTTCTTTTGTGATTTCATTTGCCCATAAAATCCTCTACTACAATTATAAAAAACATATTTTTATTAAGAACTGGAATAGAAGAAAATATCAATTTTTAACGTATTTTAAAAAGTAGATTCACATTAGAGCGATTACTAAAAGACGTGGCATTTATTATTCCTTTAACATTTATATGCGGCTCTTTGTATAAAATTTACCTTTAAATTAAATTGAATATAGTAACTTTTTATCTAAACCTATGTAAAAGAGAATCCAACAAATTGAATGAAGTTCATAACGTTTTTATAAATGTCAAAATGAAAGAGATTCTTCGAGAAATAATGTCTCGGCTTTGCAAACAAAGCAAAAATATGAATACACGACAGATTGCGAGAGCTCTGCTAAATTTTACATGGTGTGGTGTGTTTGTAGAAAGTTTTAGAGTTTCGGAATTATTAACCCCAGGAAAACAGCTGCCAGAAAACTTTGATTCGAAAGAGCAGCATCACAAACAAGGATTACCATAACCCTTACCGCTTGTCAAAATATTACGTACAGTTTAAACAAGTGTTTCTATTTTATTTTAGTTCCCCGGATGAATTTTGAATACTTACGTATGCATAGCTTTTCTTCTACGGTTTGCTTATCATTTTTGTTTTAATTATAACTAGCGACCAACCCCAGCTTCACACGGGTGCAATGCTAATACTAAATATGTATATTTTTGTTTTGTTTAGATTATTATCGAGAAGGGGAAATCTTCAAAAGATACCCCTGGACATACTAAATATACTACAGAATGTCTTTATATACAACATTCAATGTTTTTTTGTCATTAGACAATACAAACCGGCCTCCCGGCCGGTACCGCCACAACCGCTATGTCCCTGCATTTTAAGTCTGTAATATCTTCGAAAATATTAATTTAAATTACATGATGTAAAGGGCCATATTGATCTATATTAAATGCACAATCTATTTAAAAGTACTTAATTAGATAAGAATTAATGCTGTATTGCCTACAATCGCTTCGTAAATAAGTCATTATTTCTCATAAAAAGTAAAGGATAAAAATGGTTACTGTGGGTTATCCCTAAGAGATAGACATATACCATCGCGGACTTTTTTGTAAACCCTTTTAAGATGTACAATATTGTAGTACATTATTTTGATCTATCTCGTAGGGTTCAGCCAGCGTTTGCAATGTAAGCGCAAAAAATGTGTTTATTTACGACATCACATTAGAAACCTC